GAAGGAAACCAGGAAAAGTGATGGTGGAAATGGGGGTGACCCTATTGCAGATGGGGTTCTCAGGGCATTTTGACATGCTTCACAACAGACAGAAATCATCTTTTAAAAATCCTGCACATAGCTTAGGCTCACCAGACAAACTAACTCTGAGTAGTTGGAAATGAATTAAAATCTTGCACTGGGCTGAAAAAAAAAATGGTTTTGGCTGGGCATAGGTGCTCACATCTGTAAATCCTGCACTTTGGGAAGCCAAGGCAGGAGGATCGCTGGAGCCCAGGAGTTCCAGACCAGTCTGGTCAATATAACAAAACTCTATCACTATAAACTTCCAGAAAGAATTTACCAGACATGAAATTCCGTCCACATCTGTTCTAGGCCCCAGGATATCACTATGACCAGTGAAAACCATCTGTGGCACTCAGCAGGTGCCTGTCACCATGGGCAGGTTCTGTCCCCCGTCAGCAGGACAGGAACATCTCCCCTATCCAAAGTCACCTCCCGAGGCTCCACAGTTCTCTGGAATTGTGCCGAGCACCCAGATGTGTGCAGCCAAGGCCGCAGGCAGTCAACATGGAGCGCACTCGAAGGCACTTTACTTTTTTTCAGGAGACACTCAGGAGTTTAACCCACTTCCCAGCTCATAGCACATGAGGAGGGGCAGACATTTTGACCTCAGTAGGACGTGACAAATGACAATAGTGGGACCCCACAGCAACCAGTTACTTTTGTGGAGAGGAAAAGTATGGTCCTTGCCTTCGAGTGAAGACCCATAGATCCAGGCCAGCTGATGTACAAGTGAGAATCAGCAGCACGGTGCGTCGGCCAATAGCTCTGAATAAGCCCTTTACCATGCAAGTAGGTAAACCCCAGAACATACAGATGTTCCTTACAGCATGCAGGTGGGAAGGGTACATGGCCAAAAGAGCATGAGCTTAGGAAACAGACTCGGCTTGAACTCCACCGAGCTTTTGGCTGTGGACTCATGGAAACGTGGCATAGCCTCGCTGAGCCTTAGTTTCCTCCTGCATGGAATAGGGAGAGCAATGTACCTGCCTCATTAAGTTGGCGTGAGGATCTAGAACAGTGCCCACATGGATCGTCCCAGTTGAAATGGCTGACCTGCACCTAGAGGAAGTGGCAGCTCTGGAGCCCTGGCCACTTGCAGCTCTGCTCGGCTGTACGGCATCCTCCCTCCTAAAAAGACCTGAGGAGACAAGCGAGCCCCTGGCCCCTGGCTGCCTCGAAGATGACAACAGTGTGACTTCAACCTTTCAGCCTGCAGGAGGCTTCTGGTTAGAGGCTGCTCTGCAGGCATCTGTAACTCAGTTGTTGCACAGCTGGACGAAGCCGTGAGGATCGAATGGGAAAATGCCTGTAAAGCCTGACTCAGGAGCAGCAGCTCATAGATTCTGGCTGTCACTCTTTTTTTTGTTTGTTTGTTTGAGACGGAGTTTCGCTCTTGTTACCCAGGCTGGAGTGCAATGGCGCGATCTCGGCTCACCGCAACCTCCGCCTCCTGGGTTCAGGCAATTCTCCTGCCTCAGCCTCCTGAGTAGCTGGGATTACAGGCACGCGCCACCACGCCCAGCTAGTTTTTTGTATTTTTAGTAGAGACGGGGTTTCACCATGTTGACCAGGATGGTCTCGATCTCTTGACCTTGTGATCCACTCACCTCGGCCTCCCAAAGTGCTGAGATTACAGGCTTGAGCCACCGCGCCCGGCCTCTGGCTGTCACTCTTATTAGCTATTACCTATGGGAAGGACCTGGCTAGTACCCTGGCACATCAGAGACACTCCGTAAATGGCGACTTTTATTATTGGTGTAATCACTGGCCATGTATTACACAATGCCGCTTTCCTTAGCATCCGCCAGCCAAGGTAGGAGAGATGGCAAGGTCTCCGATTCTGACGGCAGTATGGGCACTTCCCACGTACCCTCATGGCGGGATTCATGGACTTGATTCGTTGTGTCCTTTCCCTGGCCTAGTGTATGAAAACTAGAGAGATGGCGGAAAACATCTGACCCCTTTCTGCACATGAGGAAAAGCCCAGGTGTGTTCCTGAGCTGTGTTTCCATCTAGAACCTGAGATGGAGTCTCAGGCCAGAATCTTCAAAAAGATATGGTGAACACGGGCCTCTCTACCTCGGCTTCTCCCTCCTCCCCCTCCACACAGCCCAATCCTCAGCTCCTAGCGTCAGTGGCACCTCCCACAGTCCCAAGTGCTCCAGGAGTGCAGGAGTGTGAGGGGCTCCTCAGCCAAGCTGGAGGCTGCGGGTGGTTTTGCTCCCAAAGGCCCCCCTCCTCTGCACGTATAGTTCTTTTTTTTTTTTTTTTTTTTTTTTTTTTTTGAGACGGAGTTTCGCTCTCGTTACCCAGGCTGGAGTGCAATGGCGCGATCTCGGCTCACCGCAACCTCCGCCTCCTGGGCTCAGGCAATTCTCCTGCCTCAGCCTCCTAAGTAGCTGGGATTACAGGCACGTGCCACCATGCCCAGCTAACTTTTTGTATTTTTAGTAGAGACGGGGTTTCACCTTGTTGACCAGGATGGTCTCGATCTCTCGACCTCGTGATCCACCCGCCTCGGCCTCCCAAAGTGCTGGGATTACAGGCTTGAGCCACCGCGCCCGGCTGCACGTATAGTTCTTGCTGTGGTTCAATGGGTCCCCTTGGCTTCTTTTTTCCTTTTTTTTTTTTTTTTTTTAAAGTATTTTGCAAAGCTGAATTTATTCAGTTGAAAGATTGTCCTTTTTTCCGGCAACTATGCCTATATTATTGCTCTTTATTACAACTTTTTGAGATGTAGTTCATATCCTGTACAATTCATCCGTTTAAAATGTACAGTTGCTGGGCGCAGTGGCTCACGCCACTGTGGGAGGCTGAGGTGGGTGGACCACTTGAGGTCAGGAGTTTGAGACCAGCCTGGGCAACATGGTGAAATCTCATCTCTACTAAAAATACAAAAATTAGCTGGGTGTGGTGATGGGCACCTGTAATCCCAGCTACTCGGGAGACTGAGGCAGGAGTATTGCTTGAACCCAGGAGGCGGAGTTTGCAGTGAGCTGAGATCACAACATTGCAATGCAGCCTGGGTGACAAAAGCAAAATTCCACCTCAAAAAAAAAAAAGTGTACAATTAAGTGGCTTTCAACATATAGTCATTGAGTTGTGCAATCAACATTACCATCTAATTCTAGAACATTTCCATCACCCCAAAGTAAACCCCATTAGTAGACTATCTCAATTCCTCCCTCTCTTCAACCCTGGCAACAGCTAACATACTTTCTGACTCTCTGGATTTGCCTATTCTGGACAATTGATATAAATGGAGTCATACGATATGTGACCTCTTGTGTCTGGTTCATCCATGCTGTAGCATGTACTGGTTCATTGTTTTTCACTGAATAATACTTCATTGAATGAGAGCTGACATTTATTATCTGTTGATTAGTTGATGGCCATTTGGGTTGCCTCTACTTTTTGGCTATGATGAGTAAAGCTGCTGTGATTATTCATGTACAAGTTTTTGTGTGGACATATGTTTTCATTTCTCTTGAGCATATACCTAAAAGTGGAATTGCTGGGTCATATAGTATCTCTATGTTTAATATTTTGAGGAACTGCTCCTCTTTTCCAAAGTGACTGCACCATTTCATATCTGCACTAGCGCTGTACGAGGAGTCCCATTTCTCCGTCCTGCTTAGTGTAAAGTGGCATCTCACTGCAGTGCCAGTTTGCATTTTCTTCATGGCTAATAATGTGGATCATCATTTCATGTGCTTACTGGCCACAGAGAAATGTGTTTGGCTTCTTTACCCATTTTTCAGTGGGGTGGTTTTTATAGGTTTGTTGTTGTTGTTGTGACAGAGTCTTGTTCTGTCACCCAGGCTGGAGTGCAGAGGCATCATGATGGCTCACTGCAGTCTTGAACTCCTGGGCTCACATGATCGTTCCAGCTCAGCCTCTCGAGTAACTGGGGCTACAGGCATGCACCACCAGGCCCAGCTAATTATTTTAGTTTTTGTAGAGACAGGGTCTTACTATGTTGCCTAGGCTGGTCTTGAACTCCTGGGCTCAAGCAAATCTTTCCACCACGGACTCTCAAAGTGTTGGAATTATAGGTGTGAACCATAGTGCTCAGCCAATTTTCACAATAATCTTAAATACAAAAGCTAAGTAAAGTAAATCAAGACCAACTTTAAAAACTAGGCAGTCTGGGAGGTAGGGGCTGCAGTGAGCTGTGAGATGGTGCCTTTGCATTCCAGCCTAGGCGACAGAGGGAGACCGTGTCTCAAAAACATACAAAAAACAAACAAACAAACAAAAACTAGGCAGTAGCTACTGGGCCCAGGAGCTCGTGTCTGCAATCCCAGCTACTCAGGAGGCTGAGGCAGGAGGATAGTTTGCGCCCAGAAGTTCGAGACCAGCCTGAGCAACACAGTGAGACCCCATCTCTGAAAAATGAACAAACAAAAACTAAGCAGTTTAGTTTAATGGTTAGAAGCATAGAGTTTGGAGTCAACTCTCCAAAATTCACCTTCCACATATGCAAAATTGTGACAATAATAGGGGTACATTATAGAATTGTGGTAGGCTTAGTGAACTCCATCGCATGTTAGCTGTTACAGTCTCATTATTTTTTACTGTGTAAATTCGGTGAGGAAATTATTAGGAAGTCTGTCTTGTTCTCTCCTGACCACTAAGAGGCGCACTTCGGAATAGAAGAAATGCGGGCGGAAATAGCCCCAAAGCGGAGAGGCTTCAACTTCTGGCGGAAGTAAATTCCTCCCTCCACCAGGTCTTAGCTCAGAAATAATTCCAAATTTCTACGTAGTCCCAAGGACAAGTAGGATACGTTTTCAGTTACAGTCATAGATATTAATGTCTATTAAAACAGTTATACTCAGAATTTTTTGCGGCACATTTTTCGACGTGTCTTTTTCGTTGAAAGAGCCGGATCCGGAAGTGCTCGCCTTTCCCCTGCCAGGACCTAGGGGGTTACGTCCCATCAGCCCTTGCGCGCCAACGTCCCTTCTCTCTTCCTCGGCGCTGCCTACGGAGGTAGCAGTGAATTCCTCGGTGAGTCTTAAAATCCGTGGTCATCCGCATTCCTGCTGCGTTCATCTGGCCCCCTCGCCCAGTGGTGCGGAGGTCTCCCCTTCGGCTCGGTATTGTCTGTGGCTATTGTTATTGTCGGCTTACTGGGGCGTGTACAGGCACAGAGTGAAGGAGCTCTGGGTGATGGGGCTTTGCGTCCCCAGGGCCTCCTGCCCTCAGCCTGTAGTCACAGCTGCGGGCTGCTTGTTTGTTCCTTGGCAGGTAGAGGGTGCTAGTTGAGGCCAGACTGCGGGGTCTCCTGGGGGCCGCGGGACGAACAGGCCCAGCTTAACAGTCTTCAGCTGAGTCCCGTGGATCCCAGCGCTCACGTGTATTCGTTCGTTGCCATGATCGGCTTCTTCCCCGGCAGTCTCGCCCTCGGGCTGCTGCGGCGGGACCGCCAGGGAGAAACCAGGTGTAGGTCAGCTGGTTCCGTTGCTGGCCCAAATTCTGTAGTATCTCTGGGAAGATGAAGATGCAGCTGCCCCCACTTTGTCTTCGAGAATATCATGGGCTGGAAGGCAAAGTCGTTTTGCAGACGTGGTTCATCGAGTACCCCACTCTGTGCCAGTTGATGGCTGCGAATAGAACAGAAAGGGTGTTGTAGGAAATCATGACTCGGAAGACCACACTGAGGAAGGTGTGCGTTGATACTGGAAGATCTCCGTAGTCGAGGCGGCTTAGAGGGGAAGGCCGTGACGGTTTTGTGTGTGTCGTGGGTGTGGTAGTGCAGCAGCTCCCTTAGGCAATTAGAAGGTTCTCTTCATTGAACGTTTACTCCGTGACGGGCACTGCAGGCATTCAGCGAGCAGTGTCATCTCCATTTTACAGGTGAGGAAACTGATGCTCCTGTTCACGTAGATAATCAAGGCTAGTACTACCGGAAGGACCATCTGGGGGTTCGGACGCTGGTGGGGTGGGATCTGCCGCCCCTTGCAAGTTGAGTGTGTCTTGGGGTCAGTTTTGGTTTGCTCAACTGTTGGCATTATTTGGGCTCAGAGGGTGGGGTGACTCCTGACCTCCTGGGATCGCGTCTGGAGAGTGCCTAGTATTCTGCCAGCTTCGGAAAGGGAGGGAAAGCAAGCGTGGCAGAGGCACCCATTCCATTCCCAGCTTGCTCCGTAGCTGGCGATTGGAAGATACTCTGCAACAGTGTTCAGTCCCAGGGCGGGAAAGCCTCCTTCCAGAATTCTTCTTCACCTGGGGCTGCTTCTTTCCCAAAAGGCATCATGGCCGCCCTTAGACCCCTTGTGAAACCCAAGATCGTCAAAAAGAGAACCAAGAAGTTCATCCGGCACCAGTCGGACCGATACGTCAAAATTAAGGTATGTGGTCCTGGGATGGAAATGGGTGTGGGTGAAGAAAGTTAATGACAGGCTGTCAGTTTCTGACAGCACCTAGTCAGGCTCACCTTTGGCCCATGAACTGGTTTGTGGAAGAGCTTTCTTCCAGAAAAGGTCGGTCTCCCCCAGTGTGCCTTAGTGCTGGTACTTGAGTCTCTTGATGTGTTAAGTGACATTTAAATGAAAAGGGACAGTCAGTTTGGATGTGTTTTAGAAGGCTTTGCATTTGTGTCATGTATTTCGGGTTGCCTTATGACAGCAGGATCCCTATTTTATATAGACAAGAAAACTCAGGTGCTGAGAGTCGTGTCTACACCTGTGCTCATCATCTCGGTATCTACACAGTCCCTTGACATCCTGTTGGTGTCTCTTCCATTGCTTGGGAGTGGGAATGGTGGGGGTGCCTGCATTCCTAGTTGCTAAAGCCACCCACCAAAAAAAGTATATAAGGAAATAATGAAGTCCTGTTACCAAAGGCAGTTACTGCGTGGCATACTTCCTTTTCATTTGGTCCTTTTTTTCCCTCCCCAAAGGGAAGAATTGGCACTCTGCACAGACACTAACCCACCTGTGTGTTACTTCCTTCAGCGTAACTGGCGGAAACCCAGAGGTATTGACAACAGGGTTCGTAGAAGGTTCAAGGGCCAGATCTTGATGCCTAACATTGGTTATGGGAGCAACAAGAAAACAAAGCACATGCTGCCCAGTGGCTTCCGGAAGTTCCTGGTCCACAACGTTAAGGAGCTGGAAGTGCTGCTGATGTGCAACAAGTGAGTTGGGTCCCACCTCTTGTTTTCAGGAATCAGAAGTTTGTATCTGTGTGAACACTTCTGGCAGGAACTCTAGAAACTCTTGGGATGCATTCTGGGGAGTTGTACATTCTGAGGGAATCTGAAGTTGTTCCCTGCAGGATTTTTAGAGAATGCTTGTTGGGGAGTTCAGTGTTTCCTTTGCTGGAGAGGGAGGAGACTTGGTCCGCTAAGTGTAGTGACCCAAGTCCAGGAAGAGACTGCTTTATGAACACTGCAGTAAACACTGCAGTAACAACCACTTTCCACTACTGCACTATCCTTTGGCTGTTTCCAGAACATTGCTTTCTTTATGAGGGTGTCAACCAAGAGTTGAACTCTGAAATATTTGAAGAGATAATTCTGACCCAAATGTGAGTTGGCCATGGCCCGTGACACAGCCCTTGAGCGACCCTAAGAACGTGTGCCCAAGGTGGATTGGGAACCACTTGGGTTTACATGTTTTAGGGAGACATGAGAGATCAAATAAATTTAAGGCGTCTGTTGGTTTGGTCCAGAAAGGTGGCACTTCGAGGTTTTGAATAGATTCTGTTTCTGATTCGGAATTAGTTATCACTAGAAGGGAATATCTTGGCCATGATAGAGGTTATGGAAACCAAGAGTGCCCTGTTCAAGTAGGGAGTGTATTCAGATGGTTGCTGGGGGCTCTGAATTTTATTTTTGGTTTACAAGGAGGGTAGAGAGAAGATCAAACATGGACCTCAGACATTAAGGGGCCCTTAAGTCTTTGCTCTATGGTAAGGGATCTCTTCAGGGGTGGGAGGGCTTTAGAACCAAGTTTGGATTAGGTGGAGAACAGGAAGAAAACTTGGCAGAGAGTGCTTACACAAAAGTGTAGAGGTGAAAGAGAGCATGGAGGGTTTACAGGGCATTGGTTCCGGTGAGTTTATTGGTTTTTTGGTTTTTTTTTTTTTTTTTTTTTTTTTCATTTTTGAGACAGAGTTTCGCACTTGTTATCCTGGAGTGCAATGGCACGATCTCAGCTCACCGCAACCTCCACCTCCTGGGTTCAGTCAATTCTCCTGCCTCAGCCTCCTGAGTAGCTGGGATTATAGGCACGCACCACCATGCCCAGCTAATTTTTTGTATTTTTAGTAGAGACGGGGTTTCACCATGTTGACCAGGTTGGTCTCGATCTCTCGACCTCGTGATCCACCCGCCTCGGCCTCCCAAAGTGCTGAGATTACAGGCTTGAGCCACCGCGCCCGGCCTGTTTTTTTTTTTGAGAAGGAGTTTCGCTCTTGTTACCCAGGCTGGAGTGCAATGGCGCAATCTCGGCTTACCGCAACCTCTGCCTCCTGGGTTCAGGCAATTCTCCTGCCTCAGCCTCCTGAGTAGCTGGGATTACAGGCACGCGCCACCATGCCCAGCTAATTTTTTGTATTTTTAGTAGAGATGGGGTTTCACCATGTTGACCGGGATGGTCTTGATCTCTTGACCTCCTGATCCACCCGCCTTGGTCTCCCAAAGTGCTGGGATTATAGGCGTGAGCCACCGCGCCTGGCCAGTTTTGTTTTTTTAAGATGGAGTCTAGCTCTCTTTCCTGGGCTGGAGTACAGTGTCTTGATTCAGCTCACTGCAACCTCTGCCACCCAGTTTCAAGTGTTCACCTGCCTCAGCCTCCCAAGTAGCTGGGATTACAGTCATGTACCACCACCACGCCTGGCTCATTTTTGTGGTTTTAGTAGAGATGGAGTTTCACCATGTTGGCCAGACTGGTTTTGAACTCTTGATCTCAAGCAATCCGCCCACCTCAGCTTCCCAGTGCCAGGATTACAGGCATGAGCTACTGCACCTGGCCTGGTTTGATTTTAGGGATGGACAGGCTCTATGTTGCCCTGACTGCAGTGTAGTGGCTATTCACAGCTGTGATCACAGCACACTTCAGCTCCAAACTCAAGGTGGGCTCAAGCCATCTTCCCATCTCAGCCTTCCTGGTAGCTAGGACCACTGGCACGCTGTACCACACCCAGCTAGTTCTAGGTGTTTTAAGTAAGTTAGACACTTGGTGAGCTCTGTGTATAACAGATTCAGTGATCTGCTTAGACCAAAAAACTAGGGCAGTGGAATGAAAAATTCTCATGGGAAGTGACAGTTTGTCTTCACTTATTGGTAAATGGAAGCCAAAAAGCTGAGTTTTCCTAAACTAGAAAGAACGTGGAGTGTGACTAACTAGGATGTTTGTATTTGTTTGCAAAGATCTTTTATCGACAGTGGTTGTAGATACAAGTAATAAAAATGAACAAGAGCAGTATTCTGATGTGATTACCTTCCAAGGTTGGAAGTGCAGGCTTTGAAATGCTGAAAACTTCTGTTTGAAAAGATGGGTGTAGGACTTAACAGTGGACATGGAAACCACAGTTGGCTGTAGGAGTTGAGCTGTAACAGGCAATAGCTGTTGTATAGCGAACATGATTACTCAGTTGCAGCGCACATGGTAGCTGCTTGCCATTCTCCAAGCACAGCTTGGCAGTCTAAGAGCGGTAGAAGTACTTTATCTCTGACCTTTAATCTCTAAGTTCCATTTCTGGGCATTTGTCCTTAAGGAATGGAAAAGTGGGGAAACAAACTAGTCACTGTCGCAACAGTCCACTGCCAACAACTGAACATGTCATTAGTGACTTGGAAAGTGCTGGATGGAATGTTGTGCGTCCATTCCAGATGACTGGAGTGTTACAGTCTGGAAAGTGCCAAAGCCAGGGGGACGCATTTCAAATGGTGGGTGCACTCTGATTGTGATTATCAAGTATGTGGGGGACAAGGACAGGAGGGGTTTTTGAACAGTAAAGACAAATGAGAACTGTAATATAACCTGAGTCTTGAAAACTTAGAAACATTTTAACATACAGTTGCTTTGAATTTGAGTGGACTCCTATATTTGCTGTCTTGCTGTTCAGGTGCGCTTCTTGAAAAGAGCTGTGTGTCCATTGCCTCATTTTTAAGTCCTGCTGCTTTCTTTGCTGAAAATGCTTCAGGGGTGGAATGTCTGTACTTAAATCCACTATGGGTGGCTTCATAAATCACCTCCTTACTGAAATGTGCTCATTAGGCCAATTGGTTATTAAATAGGGCACAGCGTAGCTGCCTTTTAAAAAGTTTGTGAGGCGGCCAGGTGTGGTGGCTCATGCCTGTAACCCCAGCATTTTGGGAGACTGAGGCAGGTGGATCACGACGTCAGGAGTTCAGGATTGGCCTGGCCAAGATAGTGAAACCCCGTCTCTACTAAAAATTCAAAAATTAGCCAGGCATGGTGGTGGGCACCTGTAATCCCAGCTACTTGGGAGGCTGAGGTTGCAGCGAACTGAGATGGCACCACTGCACTCTAGCCTGAGCAATAGAGCGAGACTGTCTCAGAAAAAAAAGTTTTAAGGAATGAGTTAGAACCAAATCTGGCACACCAGGTCCTCAGGTATTAGGTATGACTATGACAGGGTGACTTTAAGCATCGCTGTTTCTCAGCTTGCTTTGTATCCTCAGCAGTCAAACCAGGTGCTTTTGGCTCCATTCAGACTCTGGGTTCTGCTCTTGACCACTTTGCAGAGAGTTCTGAAACTTCTGGGCAAGGTCAAGCACCCTACAACTGGGGAGAACCTTTGAACCTGGAGTATGGGCCTGGGTTCACCCCAGATCCCTGTCCATTGTTTGCTGTGGGCCTTGGTTTCCTTACCTGTTAAATGGAGATAATGCCTGGATTCCAAGGCTACTATGAAGATTAGAGGAAAGAGGATAATAAATGAAAGCATTCTTGTCACCACCAGGGAACTGTAGGATCAGGGGAGTCAGGATTTGAGGGCCTATAGATGTCATTCCACAGCCACTTACCAAGCAGCCTTCCCTTGGCTTGGTGCTAGGACTCATTGCCTCCGCAATACAATTTTCCAGTCGTGTTCAGGGCTGTCTTGCTTCTTACCCACTTGATTCTCTTACAGATCTTACTGTGCTGAGATTGCTCACAATGTTTCCTCCAAGAACCGCAAAGCCATCGTGGAAAGAGCTGCCCAGCTGGCCATCAGAGTCACCAACCCCAATGCCAGGCTGCGCAGCGAAGAAAATGAGTAGACAGCTTATGTGCACGTTCTGTGTTTAAATAAAACTGGCATCTTCCTTAGTTTTAAGTCTTCAGCTTCTTGGCTAAGTTTGTCAGAGATGGTTCTTTTGCTTGTTAAGCCCTTTGGAATCTCCCATTTGGAGGGGATTTGTAAAGGACATTTGGTCCTTGAACAGGGGAACATGGTCTCAAGTGCACAGACTAGCCTTTTTTTTTTTTTTTTTTTTTTTTGAGACGGAGTTTCGCTCTTGTTACCCAGGCTGGAGTGCAATGGTGCGATCTCGGCTCACCGCAACCTCCGCCTCCTGGGTTCAGGCAATTCTCCTGCCTCAGCCTCCTGAGTAGCTGGGATTATAGGCACGCACCACCATGCCCAGCTAATTTTTTGTATTTTTATTAGAGACGGGGTTTCACCATGTTGACCATGGTTGGTCTCGATCTCTCGACCTCGTGATCCACCCGCCTCGGCCTCCCAAAGTGCTGGGATTACAGGCTTGAGCCACCGCGCCCGGCCAACAGACTAGCCTTAATCATCTCCACTTAAGGCTGGGGATGAGGGGCACCGACTTGGCTCTGACACTAGGTCGGTTCTGACACACTTGAAGCTTACAGCTCCCAAGCCACAAGCAGTCATTCTTAGCCTCGCTTTGTAAACTTAGGTGACAGTTACTCCATGTGATGCTTGTGAGAATTGAGAAAATCTGCATGGAAAAATCCAGCTGAATTTCTTACACATATTGTTATGGGATACCTAAATTGCATCCTATAACTTCTCTCCAAAAATAGGATGATGTACAAATTGCTCTTCCAGGTAATCCACCATGGTTACTGGAAAAGCACTTTCAGTCTCTCATAACCTCCCTACCAGCTGCTGCTTCAGGTACAATGTTACACAAGTTTCCCAAAGCAGGGAGCTAACTGGTGACAGTTGGGCCTCTTGTGATGCATGGCCCTGATTTTTTTTTTTTTTTTTTTTAAGAGATGGGGTTTTCGGCCGGGCGCGGTGGCTCAAGCCTGTAATGCCAGCACTTTGGGAGGCCGAGGCGGGTGGATCACGAGGTCGAGAGATCGAGACCATCCTGGTCAACATGGTGAAACCCCGTCTCTACTAAAAATACAAAAAATTAGCTGGGCATGGTGGCACGTGCCTGTAATATCGCGAGGCAGGAGAATTGCTTGAACGCAGGAGGCTGCGGTGAGCCGAGATCACGCCATTGCACTCCAGCCTGGGTAACGAGTCAAACTCTGTCTCAAAAAAAAAAAAAAAAGATGGGGTTTTCTCATCCAGGCTGGGAATGCAATGGTGCACTCACTGCAGCCTCGACCTCCCTGGGCTCAGGTGATCCTTCCACCTCAGCCTCCCAAGTGACTGGGACTATAGATGTGCACCTCCCCACCTGGCTAGTTTTTTTTAAAAAATTTCATTGAGAGTAGTCATGTTGCCTAGGCTGTCTCAAACTCCTAAGCTCAAGCAAACCTGCTTTGGCCCCCCAAAATACTGGGATTACAGGCATCTAAACATGGTAATATATAGGTCATGAGGCATATGGAATGTGGTACTCACTAGGTAAGAGACAGAAATGCTTACCGGATCCTGTTCTGTAACCATCTTGATCATCTTAGCAGAAATGCTGTGCTGGTTATAAAAAAGCTTTTCTGCTGGGCGCGGTGGCTCAAGCCTGTAATCCCAGCACTTTGGGAGGCTGAGGCGGGTGGATCACGAGGTCAGAAGATTGAGACCATCCTGGTCAACACGGTGAAACCCCGTCTCTACTAAAAATACAAAAAATTAGCTGGGCGTGGTGGCACGTGCCTGTAATCCCAGCTACTCAGGAGGCTGAGGCAGGAGAATTGCCTGAACCCAGGAGGCGGAGGTTGCGGTGAGCCGAGATCGCGCCATTGCACTCCAGCCTGGGTAACAAGAGTGAAACTCCGTCTCACAAAAAAAAAAAAAAAAGCTTTTCTAGGTCTAGTCTCATTCTAGTAAACAGGCATCTTACAGATTGTCTCCTGTACAAAACCTAGTCATAACGCTGGGCCCAGTGGCTCACACCTATAATCCCAGCACTTTGGGAGGCTGAGGCGGACAGATCACCTGAGGTTGGGAGTTGGAGACCAGGCGGGCTAACATGGTGAAACCCTGTCGTTACTAAAAATATATAAAATTAGCTACACAGTGGCATGCACCTGTAATCCTAGCTACTTGGGAGGCTGAGGCAGGACAATCAGATGAACCTGGGAGGCGGACGTTGCAGTGAACCAAGATTACACTATTGCATTCCAGCCTGGGCGACAGCAAGACTCTCAAAAAAAAAAACTTGGTCATAAATATTTATGATGTAAATTGGTCATTTTGGGGATTTATTTTCATTTTTTGAGATTGTCATGCTGTCACCCAGGCTGGAGTGCAGTGGCATAGTCTTAGCTCACTGCAAATTCCGCCTCCTGAGTTCAGGCAATTTGATTTCTCTCGACGACCCCGCGCACCCCCCCACACCCCCACCAGTCTCCTTAATAGCTGGGACTACAGGTGTGCCACCATACCTGGCTAATTTTTATGTTTTTAGTAGGGTCAGGGGTTTGCCATGTTGGCCAAGCTGGTCTCAAACTCCTGACCTTGGGTGATCTTGCCTGCCTCAGCCTCCCAAAGTGCTGGGATTATAGGCATGAGCCATTTCACCCAGCCTAATCTGGGGGATTTCTAACATTGACAAGTACGTTCAAGATACTGGTCTAACAATTGGAGACAATTTGTGTAGAGAAAATAAGCAACTTAGGATCTAATCTTTATTAACCTGGGATATCACAGAAAATACTTTGGCCTGCCACTTGTATTTCTTTGTCCTCAATAGTAACACTAGACACATTTGAAACCTTCCTCAGAAACACCAACTGGTTTGCCTGGGTGTTGTTGGCATGTGAAATTAGAAATGAAACATGAGGTCCGAACCTGTTCCCCACCCAAAGCATTCATTCTTCCTGGGAAAAGGAAACATGTACCATCCAAATTTCGGATTCATCACTGCCACTTAGAAATGAACCATTTTGAATTTTAAAACGTAACTCAAGTTTTCTTTTTGAGATGCCCAGCCTGAGCACTGACTTAGAGGCATTGCTGAGTGCAGTGAAGAAACCGGAGAGGTGTCTGCTGCCTCCTTACCATTCACAGCTGACAAGCACAGCCTATTTCTAAATACTAGTTTGTGAGGTAGAGACACTCTCTGAAGGAACCAGGCAGACTATGGAGGGGTAGAGTGTGAAGTCACTGGAAAACTTACCCTATTTCTTTGGATGACTGTCCTGAGTTAAGGATGGGGCCCAACTGTTGGCAGCCTTGCAGCTCGGGCTCAGAGCCTTGAAGTTGGGTCCCTGGAGAAGGCACTGTAAGCCCTGACGGAGCAGCAGGGTCCCCAGTGAGGTGGTGGAAGGGTGAAAGTAGAGGCTTGTGGTAGTGGATTGGGGAGGCCTCATGGTTGGGTGGGCTCCTTTCTCTCAAGAGAAAGGTGGGTGAGGGCCCACCTGGGTGCTGAGGAGACTAGCTGAGCTCCATTGAGTCTGTGCTGGGGGCTGAAGCGGAATCTTTCTGGATGCTTTCAAAGAGGGCATCAAGTTCAGGGTTGGATCTGATCTGGGAAGAGAAGTCGGCCATGATGGGGCTTTTCCCCACCTCAGGGATGGTCAGCAGGGCGGCCACTGCCCTCATTGCAGAGCGCTTCAGTTCATCTTGCTTTTCAAACTCCTGTTTCACAGAACCAGCTTTGACCTAAAGTAGGAACAGCAGAAGAAGCCATCCTTTATTGCGCCTGGCTGCCACCACTGCCTCCTCACTGGTCTTTGGCCTCCTCACTGCCCCATAATCCCTAAGGTACATTCCTGCTGCAAGGTCTCCTAAGGCTATTTCCTAACTCCACCTCTGGGCTTTAACACTGACTTGTTTCCCACAGAGGTTCTTTGTCATTCAAATCAGCTTGAGTACAGCCTGAGGGGTCTCTGAGCAGCCAATCTAACATGCCCACTTTTTTTTTTTTTTTTTTTTTTTTTTTGAGACGGAGTTTCGCTCTTGTTACCCAGGCTGGAGTGCAATGGCGCGATCTCGGCTCACCGCAACCTCCGCCTCCTGGGCTCAGGCAATTCTCCTGCCTCAGCCTCCTGAGTAGCTGGGATTACAGGCACGTGCCACCATGCCCAGCTAATTTTTTGTATCTTTAGTAGAGACGGGGTTTCACCATGTTGACCAGGATGGTCTCGATCTCTCGACCTCGTGATCCACCCGCCTCAGCCTTTTTAATTGACAGTGGCAAGTACTGTGTTCCATACTTAACCTCCTCCCACAGACTGCAGGGATCCAGCCTAAAGTGCTTAAAATCAGCTCTTAGCACCTTATGATTAAACTGAATGAATGAATCACTGCTGTGGTCTTGTAGCAGCCTCTTCCCCTATTCTAGCCCCTGCCTGGAAATCCGTTCTATAGCTGCAGTTGGAGAGTAAGCACCTCAGGCTACCTCCTGTAGTTTCTGTTGACTTCCCCACCATCTCCCACTTAGACAAAGGAGCTCAGTAATTCCTCCACTGCTTATGGACTAAAGTTCAAATTCCTCCTTATGCTGGGCTCTACTGAAAGAATCCAAAACAGCTTGACATTGGAGTTGCACAGTCCTGCGTTCAAATGGCTCTGCCCCCAAGAGCTGTGACTCCAGGTAGCTACATCTTTGAGCCTCATTTCCCCATCTAGAAATAAAAGCTGCCTGTAATCTCAGCACTTTGGGAGGCCGAGATGGGCAGATCACGAAGTCAAGATATCAAGACCATCCTGGCCAACATGGTGAAACTCCATCTCTACTAACATTAGCTGGGTGTGGTGGCATGCACCTGTAGTCCCAGCTACTCTCGGGAGGCTTGAATCTCTTTGATGTAGGAGAATCACTTGAACCTGGGAGGCAGAGATTGCAGTGAGCCGAGATCGAACCACTGCAGTACGGCCTGGCAACAGCAAGACTGTTGGGGGAAAAAAAATGAGTTGCCCAGATAATTAAATAACACAACTCTACACCCCCTTCTTTGAGATCC